TAAGACTCAAAACTCTGCCAATTGGGGACCCATAGAATATTCCAAAGATACCTTGGAATTCAAAAGTGACTCTTTTAAGAAATCTTACTCAAGACTCTCTAAATTTGAAGATATTGAAGACTTTGAAGTATCTTAAGGTTCGACTAAGTATATCACTTTAGAGATTCTGAGGGCTTCAAGACTTATTTTCTAAGGTTTTAGGATAACTATTCAAGATTACAGACTGAAGTCTCTGAGGATTCTAAAGGCCTTGAGTTAAAGCCGTTGAAGAATCTGAATATGTATATAGAAAACTTTGAAGTTTTTTTATGACTTAAGACAATATTTAGAAGAAAATGCTTTAATTTGAAGAACTAAAACTTTGAAGATTCTAAAACCTCGGAAGTTGGAAGCATGGTTTTTCAAAATTTTGTTATGTTAAAACTCTCAATACCACTGATGTAAGAGCCTGAAAATTCTAAAGCCAAGGAAAAATTTGAAAGACTTCAAGATTCTAAAGTTTTAAGACTTTCAAGACTTTGAACGTATCGGAGTGCTTCGAGACTCATGACTCAAGACGATAACGTAACGTGTTCCATCTCTTCTTATTTTCATTATAAAGTTGTATTTTTGCCACTCCAGAATCAGCAAAATAATAATTCATAATTTGAGTAATCTAAGTATGTACAAAGTTCAATATGTATACTATCAGTACTGCCATCTATCCATCATCAGCATAAAATGCAAAATATCTATTATTAAAAAAGGTACCATCATATAGTACCGGATAGATTTTTTTTTTAAATATGATTTTTATTTTTTCTCATTGATAGTCATTCGTATTTTCATTTCAAGAAATTATATTTATCTCACTTTTAGCAAATAGATATATTTCTGTCTGTCTCTAACTTCTGATTCTGAAATGATTATTTTTGGCTTAATAACCTAATTAATTAGTGGTTTTTTGTTTTGAACATAACCTTAATTTAAATTATTGTGATTTGTAAACAATTAAAATAATTCTAGTGGGTTTTTATCTATTCTCTTTCAATCCGCATGGTATTTCATTATGAAGTGAATACGATCTTTTGTGTGTGTTGAGTGTAGTCTTCTGATTGGCCGATTTGGTTAATATGCAGTTAAGTATACAAAAAAACACAAGATTCGTTTTCCTGCAGCGTTTGGTTTCTAAAACAGTCTCTTCTTCTGGCAGTGGCCTAGCAGGCAAGTCAATTTTGATTTTTGTATTTTTTTTCGTCAGATTTCTAGCTTCTCCCTTAATAATTTTTTAATTTATTTTACCATCAGTGTATACTAAAGTCCGACAAATACCATTTTAAAGTCACGTGATATTGGTGGCAAAAAACGTATGTTCATTGATTATGTCGTTGATATCACCTACAAAAAACAACTGGGTGGTTAATTACTATTGAATTTTAGGATATATGTTTCCACTAGCATCTCACAAACGCGTTTCTGAAGGGTATTGACCAATAAGATGGGAATTTTAATACTTGCAATTGTTGCGAGACTCACTTTTATCGCATCTGCTGTCCGTTGTAATACATTCTGAACTTGAATTGGGTAGCCGTTTTCTATTTGCTTCTTTTAGAGTTGGAAAAAGGTTAATATAGTCAAAATTATTAGCTGTGTTTGTTCGTTGTATCATTTTCGAAAATAACAGTGACAAACTAATTGATGACAGCGACAGATTCTATACTCCTGGACAAAATTATCGCACCACCACTGCACATAAGCACCATAAGCAGTGGTGCGATAATTTTGTCCAGGAGTATATTTCAGGTTAAAATAATATGAACAATAATTAGACACCAATTTTTTTTTCAATTTTTCTATCACCGCTGTTTAAGATGTATTCAACAAGGATTGAGAAAAATCACGTGACTTTAAAATGGTATTTGTTGGACTTCACCATATCACTGTTGAGTTTTTACCTGATAAATATTAAATATCTTATCTACTTTTAAAATATAAATATTATATTTTAATTTTTTTATCTAATTGTGGGCCTCCATTTTGTGTGTGTGATTGGTGGTTCCACGTTTTTCTGAGGTAAGTCAATTCAGATTTTTGAGCTAATAAATAGGTACTGCTGCTCTGGTTTTCAGAATCAATTGTTAGTGTGGGATTATTGGACCATTTGCTCTAAATAGAGTCGGTGAAAACCAAAGGACCTCGCACCCTTTACATGGGATTTCGGCGATAGGTCGATTTTTTTTCAATTTTTGATATGTTGTAGAGGATTTATTTCTTAACAACCATCAAATGGGACGAACTCTTGTAGGTAATACAGTCTTTGAGATATGAGCGTTGAAAGATAAACTTTTTTGCGACTTTTTGTATGGAGAGTATACGAAATACTGGTGTTTATCAGTCAAAATATTGACAGGTTCACATATTTTACGTCACGAACAAATCTCAACATGGGCTAAGGCCGGGACCGCACTGGCGCCAACATTGACCCCAGTGCGGTCCCGGCCTTAGCCTATGTTGACGTTAATTTGTTAGTGACGTAAATTCAATGATCTATAACCAAAAACTGGAATGCTAACACATAAGGACGAACTTGAAGCCTAGTGCGGCTGCTGCGGAGGGGATACCTATTTTTGTCGCACTCATTATGTTAAATGGCGAAAATTGCTTCCAACAAGTATTCCAATTGATGAAACCTGTGAAGGGAAATATGACAAAACTTTCGAAAACGTCATATGACAGCGAGCAACAGAAAAAAACAACATTCCCCCTTGTGGCACCTGTCTTTCATGGCTTCATTTTTTTGGCAGATATGGCAATGTGTGCGCATTCCAGTTTTTAGCTATAGTTCATTGCGTAAATTATTTGAACCTGTCAATATTTTGACTGTTAAACACCAGTAGCACCAGTATTTCGTATACTCTTCACAAAAAAAGTTGCAAAAAAAGTTCATCTTTCAACGCTCATATCTCAAAGACCGTAATATCTACAAGATTTCGTCCCATTTAAAGATTGTTAAGAATCAAATCCACTACAACACATCAAAATTTGGGAAAAATCGACCGATCGCTGAAATCCCATATAATGTGTGCGAGGTCCTTTGTGTGTCCATCCCTATCAACTCTTTATTGAATCCAGGCAGAGGCCTATATAGCCATTTTCTGTTCGACTCCGTCAATTCTTATCTTCTCGAGGAGAAGAGTGTTAAAAAAGGGTGTAATTTTTCAAAATAGAAATCCAGACAGGTCAAAAATTCATTTAAAAAGTTTTAATTGAAACATCTCAAGAATTTTGACATATCCTGGATTTGATTGATTTCACCCTCAGGTTTATCTTGTAGTATCTATGGTAGGTACCTTAACTAAGAAAGAAAATTTGCCTATTTGGGGAGAATCTAGAGATTAAATTTTTTAATTTTTTTATCTGTTTCAATTTTTCCTACATTTGTTTTTATTTTTACCTGTTTATTGCTACTGCCAGAAAACAGCACCCTGCTCAATTTGTAACGAGCATTTTAATTTAATCTTGCTGTTCTTACCTATTTTACTATTATCTTATGATTATTATCAATTATTTAATTGTTTTTTTTTTATATTAAAACATTTTTTTCCAATTTGCAATAGTTGCTCGTACCTGATTCTGTTGGAAAGGAGTGTCTGCACAACAATGGTTTCATAATTTCAATTTAAATCTTCTTTGCAAAACACTCGCTTTTTGACAGAATTCAGGGATTTAATATTCCAAATCTTGGAGAACTTGATACTACCTTATTCTTTTCTGGGTACATACTGGACTTAAAAGATCACTGTTTGGAGTCTGGATCAGCTGGAGTGAAGTCACCCCAGCAATCTATCCTCTTTCATGGATACAGGAAACAACACGAAGAGCCTCAGTTCACGAAAGTGAAACCCCAACATCCATTGAAGAGCTCCGGATTGGAAAGGTACTTACTGTATCAGATTCACCAGAACAACCAAGCTGTTAATTGTCAAATTTTAAAGAAAAGTAATATTGTTACTATATTGTAAACAAATATCAAATAAAATTTTTGTTTGTTGGATTTTAAGTGGCTTCATTTGCACATAAAGGGGCTACACGTTATCTTTATTTTTGAAATCAACGACCCTATAGGTTCTCTTGCCGTAAAGTACAAATAACTAGTATTATTTGTAACAGTTTTCAGAGCCTTCAACTCTAACGACTATGATCTAAAATATCTAGGAATTTTTGTGACGTCTTCGGAGCTTAAAATATATCAGATTCAATACTGAAGCCTTCGAAGATTCTGAGAGCCATAACGCCTGAAGAATCAAGATTCAAAGGCTCCTAATTCAAATACTTTGAAGACTCTAAGGTTCAAAAATCATAAGAACTTGCAGATCGCAAGGGTTGCTAAAGTTTAGAACTATAGAAGCTCTCAAAACTCAACTGAAAACGGAGAATTGAGTTCTGAACATTCTAAAAAGGCCGAAAAATGTGGATATTCAAAAAACGACGGCCAAATAGTGCCGAGCCCAATTCCATTGTTCTTCTCTATCTGGCAACTCTGCAATTGTGAGCCTCTATTGAAATTAATCAGTGTCTGTTTGGATCCACCCTTAAAGAGCGCCGAAAAGCAGGATTTTATTTCTTTGCCATATGCAAGAAATCTACTTGAGAACGAATTCTTTTTGGTCTCTAGCAACTAAAATTTGCTTTTGTCACCTTCTCTTGAAATTAACCAGTAAAATGTAAGAGGCAGGTACCAAAAAAGCATATTTTTCAGAGTTTCCCCCAGAAAACTATGTTCTTGTCTGTAACAATTTTGAATTTGCTTTTTGAATTTGCTGCTGGAATCAATGAGAGCGTGAAGATATGAATTCCAGTTTAACAGAGTCCTATAATTTTGCTGTGGAGAAAATAGGGACACTTGAAAAAATTGTCTAGAATCTAATGTAAACGAATATATATCGAATCAATCACATTTGACAATGTATTTTTTTGAAATTAAATTTCATATAAATAAATATGTTTTGTATATAAATAAATAAATATTTCTCAGTCAAAGCCAATTATTTATCTCTAAATCTAAAATTAACAATTATAATTTTTGAATTGTTTCTACAATTTTCTATACAAAATTATTTTGTTTCATTTTCATACAACTTCTTAGTAGAATTATTTTCAAATAAAAGTCCATCTTGAGCGTAAACTATAGTAACATTTTCAGGCTTTCCAGGTTTTCGTACTTTGCCAGGCTGCTTGGTCGATTTAGTCGGTTTAACTGTAGTAGTAGTCAATGCAGGTTTACTTTGCAACTTAATAGTTTGATTTGCAAACGTTGCAGGCGTTACAGTAGTTGTAGAATGTCTTTGCAACCCAACTGATTGGTTTGCAGTAGTTGTAGAATGTTCGGACATTTCGCAATTTTTCCCGTAAGTACCTTCTCTGCAAAGACATTTATAAAGTCCATCATCTTTGGTCAAAGAAACGCATTTGGCACCATTTATACACGTGTCAGGATTGTTTTCGCAGTGATTCAACTCTGAAAAAAAAAAAATTCTAATTTCAAATTCCAAGTTAGCAGAAATTATTACTTATTGGAACCAATATTTGATTTTGCAACTCTAGAGTAAGAGTGGAAATGGATAAGTAAACCAATTATTCTTAGAACTAAGTAAGTACCTACGATCTAGCTTTTAAAGCCATGTCATGTCAATAAGGAAAATTACGTTTATTCAAGTCAGCAAGGGGTTGTATTAATTACACCCACTAACAAACTAATTCAAACCCCCATTCCTTTTATTTATTTTTCAATCCAATCTATTCGAGAACAAAGTTTGTTCGAATTCAAAACTATCTAATAACTTATTTAATTAATCATTTCTATAGTAACTTGATTATGGAAACGTTAGCTATAGATATAGTTTGGGTTTAATTCTAGTCTAAATCCTATCTAATCGACATTCCATTCAAAGATGTTCCGTAATGGAAATCAAATCTCACTCATGTTTGCTTTGAGGCTGGAAATAAACATGTACTTAGTGCTTGCAGTTTGAGACTAAGTTTAAATGTAAGTGAATACGCGCTTAGGTATAAAGTGTGGTTTATATGTCGAAGTTTAACTAACAAGAATTTATCCGATGTGAACAGGGGCTTTACCCATTTACAGATAAATTGAAATTTTACCTTCATCGCAGAGCATTCCACCCCATCCTTTCTGACAATTACATTCCCACGGTCTGTTACAACTACCATTCAAACATCCTGGATAGGCGAAGCATTTTTCGCAGTTTTTACCCCACCAGCCAACTTTGCACCTGGAAAATAGATTGTTTAGATTAGAATAGTATAAATATTTCAAGTTGGGGACATTGTGAGTGCAACACTGTTCTTCGAATTCGAAACGAACGAAAACAAGATAATTCTAGAAGCAACGACAAGCTATAAATTGGAGTCGGTTATCGAGGGTAACAGAAAAATTGAACGCCAGTGTATCATGAATCAGTTAGTCGTGTTAGTTTGGACACTTTCTGTACAAGATTCCAGAATAGTGTCATTCCTAATAATACCAACTTTCCAAGAAAAAACAAGAAAGCACAAGTGATGGATATTTCAGTGACCATAAAATACAGAAGATTACGATCTCATTATCTTGTGAACCTGTCCCACTGCATCAGGCATTGCTGTACATGCTTCCTCTACACCTATATATATAAAAAAAAAAACAAACATAGATGCCTATAGGCTATATCAGGCAAAAACATTGAAGCCTGGTGATCTAAATGGCCACTTATGCATCCTTCAATCTATAAAGGTCGACTGCCAAAGTAAACCAACAGCTCACATGATAACATCACTTGACTTTGAGATTCCATATGAAGTGGTTGTGAAAGAACACCAATCATGGAAGAACGCAGAGCTACCGCAAGCGGACAAGCAGGCAAAAAATTTCATATCCATCTCGCCAAAGAGATCTGAACAACGTCTTGACATGAACAGAAGAAACATTAGAACAGTCGTTGGTTTGCTCACTGGGTATTGCTTGGCGAAATATCACCTGAAAACAATAGGCAAATCAGACAACGAGCACTGCATATCTTACAAACCAGCAACAGAAACTACAGAACATTTGCTCTGTGAATGCTCTGCTCACCTCTCTGAAAGGCTGAAATACCTTGAAGGGGTACCTACGGCTAACACCCCAAGAGGTGGTTCACCACCCAAGAAGCTGGCCTACTCCTTTGGGACATGGACATCAACTAGAAGCCAGAGTCACGCCTAAAATATCTGGCAAGGTAGCAGTGCTTGAGCGGCTAGAACAAACTATAACAACTCCAAAGATAATCTACAATCTACATTATCTTTAGAAAATTTCAGTTCCATCAGTTCATGTAATATTATAGGTGGTACCCACTCACCTACATTCGTCGGGTTTGCGACAATACCCCCGTTCCTTATGACAAGTTTTCGAGCAGATTGCTAAAAAAATACTCATCTAAAATAACTCCTTCAAAAAACTATCCAGTTACATACGTGTCTGGCAAAGTATCCCAGTGTATCCAGGATGGCATTTACATTCCAACGGTTTTTCGCAGTAGCCGTGCACGCATCCAGGCAAAACTTGGCACTCTTTGCACGTCTTGCCTGACCATCCTAACCTGCATTTACAATCACCCGGTACGTTGCAATAGCCTCTGGCTTGATGGCAATCATGACGGCATATTGCTATTATAGATATCAAAATATAAAAATGTTTCCAGCTGCAACTAATACGATATACAAAAATTTTGTATATCGTATATATTCAACACATTTCGTATCATCTTCAAACTAAGGTATTTATAAATAAGTAAATTTTAGAAGAAAAAAAAAAAATGTCTCTACGTACGTTCCGAACAAAACAATCCATCCCATCCTTCCTGGCAAATACACTCAAAACTCGTATTACAATATCCATGCTGACATCCGGGCAATGGAATGCATTTGTTGCATTTTTCTCCGTAGTAGCCTAACTTGCATAAACATTCGTTGGGTCGATTGCAGTAGCTAACATGGAACAATAACTATAAGTAATTGAAAGGCTAGAATAATAATCGATTTACCCTTGCATTGGGTCACATCCAGACCGACATTTCGGTACGTCGCAAAGGTCTCCGTTCCAGCCTGGCAAACATTTAACTTCGCCGTCGTCAGTGCACAAGTAATGGGAATACTCGTTGCGGGAAGTTGGTAATTCGCAAGCCTGTAATTAAAATAGTTTAATTATTGTGGAACTTAGTGATGATACAGTTATTTACTTAACAAAATGTAGAGGACGCAAAATGTATGTTGGCAAGCCAACATTTCAAATTACTTACTTCTAAATTCGAAACTTTTCTACAACGAAAGTTAGCTCAACTTAGCCCAGATGAAAAAGATTAGTGGTGCCGCGAGACGAGACTAGACGAGACTTAAGGTTGGTCTCGTCTCGTCTCGACATTTCGAGACGAGACCATGACTTAGTCTCGGTCTCGAGTACTAATGTCTCGTCTCGTCTCGAGTAGTCTCGTCTGGTCTCGAGTTATACAGGGTGTCCGGAAAAAGCGTAAAAACTCTTCACTACGTGGTGGAGGACCCTTTAAGGAACCCCAGAAAAATAATTTAAAAAATCTAGTGGCATTCATAACAAAGTTATTTGCATTTTAATATTTATTCAAATTGGCAACACTGAAAATATCCTATTAACATTATGTCAGAGAATTAAATTAAATACACTTATGTAATTACCTGTAGAATTCGAAGTTGAATTTCCACATTTACCTCTTCATATTACCAAAAATAATGCTGGAGCACGATTTTTTCAATTATTTTTCTAGGGTTTCTCAAAGGGTCCCCTACTACGTGGAGAGCTTTTACGCTATTTTTCGGACACTCTGTATTTTTGGTTTTTATTTTTATATTATAACGGACGTCTAAACGGCCACAGTGAAAAAGCAGTTATTTAAAGAGTGAAAAATCACAGTAAAGAGTAACCGTGATATTTGAAAAAATATGAATGTCAACTGAAAAAAAAATGTCGGACAAAACAGTTTTTGAAAAAAGAATCACCCTGTATTTTTTTTGTGATTTATTGGGATGTTTTCTTGATACTTTATCTTCAGATCTCACTTCTAGTTCAACCGGAAGTGGAATCTGAAAATTGAGTAGGTATGTAGAAATCATCCCATTAATATTGAAATCTACTGATTTCATATTCAAATAGCCCAGAATAGTCCAATAATAATAAAAAAAAAAATTAATTGTAATCTCGAGACTCGAGACTACGCGAGACTTTCGCCGAGTCTGGTCTCGTCTCGTCGAGACTTCACGAGACGAGACCAAGAGCCAGTCTCGTCTCGAAATGCAAAATATTATATAAATTAATACTTTCCGTCTCTTCAGTCGCTTCAGGCAGTGAGACTGCAATTGGCTGATCCAGATCGCCTTCTCTTTCTGCATCATGCCTATCATCGATGTTGGAGCACGACCCTTCACATTGCTGGCACAGTTTTGTGTAGAACAGTCCTGCCCGTTTACACTCACACCGACCTAGGAACCTATCTTTCATTTGCAGGATATAAGCTGGAGAAGCTTCTTGGGAGCCGGGTGTTTTGGTGTGGTAATGGGAACCAACCCATTCCTTGTCAACTTCCAACCCCACTTTTCTGGATCCAAGTAGGTTCCTATCCACTGCTGCACCTGATGAAAACCCCTAAAGGCGTGTTATTGTGTGGCAGCTTCAGTGGGAGGTAGGGACGCTATGTTTGTTGATACCTTGTAGGCTGATGTCAAGTATTGCTTGTACCTTAGTTTGTTGAGTGTTATGTATGGGTGGATTGGGTTTACGTTATAAATAGCAACCAGAAATTTTTCACTGGCAGCTGTTATTTCATTTGGATGAGCTGAAGGATCAGTGAAGTTTTCAATACAAGATGCCAGTCTGGATTTTTGGTAAGAGTTTTGAGAAATTTGATCTTGCCCTGATTGGATTATGTAGACGTAGAGTCGCAACCACTCAATGCATGGAGAAAGAGCAGGTGATCGGCAACACTCTTCTTTCTGGTTGATAGAGAAGCTGAGGTGATTTGCCTCTTCTTGTTTTGAGAAAATACACATTGAGAGAAGTTATGACACCAATCATTATGACCAAAAGGTTAACATCTTCCCCAACAATTGCGACACTTTTGTGAGCTGAAGCGAGGGATTCTGCTGTTTGAACTATCAGTGTGTCTGCATCAGGCACTGCTTGTTTCGAAGCGATTCCTCGTTCATTGCATTTATTCATCAGCATGGTGATTAGCTTATCCTTGTTTTTCGCATTCGATAAAAAAGTTGCTTGAGAAACTGATGGTGTCATGATCAATTGTAATTCTACGGACTGTTTCCTAGTCGAGCTCCTCAAGCGTTACATGGACTTGGTGTACTTTTCTGTTCATCCGAGTATCCATCGAACACAATTGTCGCATTTTGTTTGTACTTACTTCGTACATAATGTATATACAGGGTGTCCCACGGTGGATGGCGTATTAGACGTTTATGGAGAACTAAAAAGCGGATCATTTTGAAAATTTGGCAACCGGGATAAACGACCATGATCTACACTTTAAAAATATTTTTGACCATGCGGTGTTGCCGCTTCTACTCTAAACTAGTGGCAACATCACTATTTTAAATGGAACACCCCGTATTAAATTGCATATTTGGATTGTAAAATTCTAAGCAGATTTCATGTGATATACCCTATACCTAAGTTCAACTGTTTTGGAAATATTGACAGTTGAAAATTGACTTTTTGCAACTTTGACAGGCTGTAGAACCTGAACGGTTAATTTTAGAGGAAAACCGATTTTACGTTCCTATCTTAGATTTTAATAAACTATCATTTGACACCAACTTAGAATTAAATCCATGATTAAAAATTTCAGTTAAATTTAATCTCTGGTTAAGTTCAAAGTTGGTGTTAAATGATAGTTTATCAAAATCTAAAATAGGAATGTGAAATCGGTTTTCCTCTAAAATTAACCAATTAGGTTTTACAGCCTGTCAAAGTTGCAAAAAGTCAATTTTCAACTGTCAATAGTTCCAAAACAGTTAAACTTAGGTATAGGGTATATCACATGAAATCTGCTCAGAATTTTACGTAGAATCCAAATATGCAATTAAATATGGGGTGTTCTATTTAAAATAGTGATGTTGCCACTAGTTTAGAGTAAAAGCGGCAACACCGCATGGTCAAAAATATTTTTAAAGTGTAGATCGTGGTCGTTTATCCCGGTTGCCAAATTTTCAAAATGATTCGCTTTTTAGTTCTCCATAAACGTCTAATACGCCATCCACCGTGGGACACCCTGTATGATAAGCAAATTTCTTCAAATATATGACCACTCAACCATACCACTCTGTGCAATAAAAAGCCTCCAGCAATCACGTATACTGTACTGTTGTCCAATTGCGCAGTGTTTGAAAGAAATGTAACTGCTTTGTATAAAGCAGATTTGTTCCTTTTCTCATCCCAGTCTCATCGAACAAAGATAAGGGATATGGAGTCAATTCGTAAGTTAGGAAATCTTCTAGTTCTTCGTCTGACTGCTTGGCGACAATCAAGAAGGTATCTGGCTTTATGACCACGGGATGATGATGGAAGAGCTGATGGTTGCGAGAGGCAGCACTCGGTCGATCCGTTTGAACTTGACACTATTGAAGTCTTTGCCAACAATTTCTTTGATACTCTTGGTTCCCACCTCCCTGGACAACTGACAATTGATTATATGATCTCCTAGAAGCCCTGTGCTGATTGATATTAGTTCCGAGGTTTTGGGGAACGGTGGGTGTTAGCGGAACCCTTCCAACATATTTTTTGTACATTTATTGTCAAGATTTATTCTTGCATCACAGCTGTCCGCATGCTGCTCGGTCGTTCCAAAGCTCACATCGCAGAAATCCTCAATTGCATTTGCGATATACTGGAGCGAACTCATTCCCAACGTCCATCTTGCCGAGATGCCCTCACTGAATCCGAGTGGTCTACTTAACCCTCCTTCAACCTTCATATGCTTCATGAGCTGCTGTTCAATACACATATTGCTCCATGTTCTGCTCCAGCATTTGTTAGTACGTCGAATAGTGAACCCCCCTTTGCAAGTGAATAATTGAAATTCCCCAGGTGGAATGGAATACCCTAATGTGAGCATATCTTGCAAGTACACTTGGCATATAGGTTGTGCTCGCTGGCATGGGAATATCGTAGCATTGGCGTATATGACTTGGAGGTGTAGTTTCCAATTGCCCATCCACTTAGATCCAATGAATTTCAAGATCAATGTTACCATCTGGAGATACTCAATCCACAACTTAGAAGTGGGGCCTAGGATGGCAAGATTTTGAAGTTGGGTTTCGAATTTATTGAAAATCTCTTTTCCACAATCTCTCTTATGTGCCTCTAATAGCTCACTTCGATCCCCGCTGTACAAAAGTTGCTCAACGTCTAACTGTAACACTGAAGGCAAGTCTAGCGACTCCATAATGAGCCGACCAACAGCTCGAAGCGCCAATGTATGTCCTCTGATGGCTCTGGCATAGGCATGGCCTGTCATAATCTTTGCAGTGCTATTGACAGCATAGACGGTGTTGAATAGTTCCGACAGACCACTACCTTCCAAAATATATCCGACAGCTCCCATGAAAGACATAAGTAAGTGAAACCCACCTAATCGTACGACCACGCGCTGTAGCTCAGGGTCTCCTACTCGACTTGCTAGCACCTCGCACGCCTTGAGGTGCAGGGGTAGATCGGAGGTGACAAAAGTTGTTTGCTGCCCCAAGGAATGCGTCTTTTCAGCTGCCGAAAGCAATGATGTGTAGATCATATCGTATTCTCCAGGAGGCGCATTTATAAAAGGCTGTCATTCTATGAATATTGTTTGGAAAGGAATTTCTTTAGTTATTTCCTCTATAAAACCATTACCTATATCAACAAACTCCTGGAAGATTTTTAAATTTGCTGTACAGCCACAGCAGAACGGGCACGGATGGAACTATGGTCTCTGTATCGTGAAACGAGGTACGTAGGTCATTGACTGAATAGCGGCTGGCTAAGCCTACATCATTGTTTCTTTCAAATTGTTTTAGTGGTACAGCTCTCAAGTTTCCAACGGCTTGTGCTGATGGTATGTTTTTTAGTTGTGCAACCTTCTGACCGCAAACAACAGCACTTTTGGGGGTAACACATCGGATACTTCCCATTGTGTGAAAGGTGTTTCGACTATCCTGTGTTTGAATGTTGAAATCTGCGTTGTTATACACCATGCGACAAAGTGCTTATTGATCAACAGCCAGGAAAGAACGCATAATTGAGGATACTTCAAGTCAAATTGCTTCATTGTATGAGCAACAAAATCCCATAGAAGATAAAACATCTATCAATTTGCGGGAACCTAATGTTTTATAAAGAAATGCTGCTAAGCCGACTTGAA